GAGATTCAATTTCGTCTGCTTCTACCGGGGAGAGACGAGGGGATTGGGAATTCTTAGAAGACGGGCTTAAACATCGTTCTGGAAGGCGCCTTGACGCCGCCCGACTCGAGACTTGAGAAACCATCCGTCTTATTGCCGATGCGCACGGCTCTCGTTCTCCCGTTCTTATACTCTTTGCGTGTTTATGTATGAAAATGATGCACTCCGGTGGATGGGCTCGACATATTCTGCTTCCCAAACGCGTACGTCCGCACGAAGGTTCTCCCCGACTGACTCGCGCACATATACGGGAATGACCACATTATACGCGCCCCCCGTTACACTGCGCTGTTATTATCCTTCCCCCATTTGAAAGGCCATCTTGCGTAGATCATTAATCTCTTGTACCTACAAACCGCCATTAAAGGAATTATATTAGAGAAACACGTTACTTTAAGCGATATCTTGAAAGAAGAGGTTTTACAATTTCGGTCTTAACATTACTCCATTTAATAATGTGCGCGTGAAGTGTTAATTACAAAAAACATTTATATATATATATATATATGTATATATATACAGGGTGTCCCAGAATTAGTGTAACATCTCTCGTGAACAAATAGAAGGAGTAAAACTGAGTCAAAATGTCCTATACCATTTTGCTAGATTCGCAATAGTTACCGAGATCTTAATTAACAAAGATCAGCGAATAAGCATGCATCGTGCTGTCTTACGCGCGTAAGACAGCCCAGTGCGCTTCGCGCGCTAACGGTGTTACTCATAGCGACATATGGGAGGAGCTAATATAACAGCATATACTATAACATATACATATTAAAATGTAATTGTGCGAAGCGCGCCGGGCTGTCCTCCGCGCATAAGACAGCCTGATGCACGCTTATTCGCGGATCTTTGTTAATTAAAATCTCAGTAACTATTGCGAATCTAGCAAAATGGTATAGGACTTTTCGACTCAGTTTTATTCCTTCTACTTGCCTACGAGAGATGTTAAACCAATTCTGGGACACCCTGCATATATTATAATTAGATGATTCCAGAAAAAAAAACATCTGAAATAGGATTGCAATTGTCTAAAATAGAAAACAGAACAAATATTTCCTCGTAACATTGAGTTTTTCTGATTCTGTTTTTTTTTTGCAGTTATATGTAGAAAAACACGTGTTTTGCGAAACAAATTATAAATTATTATTCATTTCTTTGCAACAATAAATTTTAGAACTGCGGTAATATTTGATTGAAAGTTTGTCTTCGTAATTTAGTCAGGCACGCGCACGTGTGCGCGCGCGCTCTATGCATTCTCTCTTACAAATTAGTCCTGCAATTCGTGATCGTAGTATTAATGAGGATGCAATTTGACGTTCGCAGTTGTATAAAATAAATTGTGTAGATATAATTTTAAACGCAAGAGTTATACACATCTGACTGTTTTGCAGTGAAACGTTACCGACCTGACACGAGTTATTCTTTCTGTTACACACACACTCTCTTTTCCCTCCCTCTCTCTTTCCCCCTCTCTCTCTCCCTTCCTCTATCAAGTGTGTGCAGTTGATTTGTGCATTTATGTACGTGCGTGGTGCACGTAGTGTTATTAAACATGATAATAATTTGAGTGGAATACTACAACCCCTCTTTCATGCCGATCGCGGCGATAAGAGCGAATTAATTCCGTAATGATGCTAACTTCGCCAGAACGATCCTATTTCGTGTCACGCACGCCCATAGTAATCGCATTCCTTCCCGTCTGTTCTCAGTAAATTATAAAGAGCCATTGCCTTTTATTTGTGGCTGATTCAACTGTTATGGCAAAAATTTGATCAAAACTTTTCGAGTAATTCTCGATATGGCCACGATCCAACTCTCTCTTTTTCATATAGTTTTTTTTATAAAAAAAAAAAACTATAAAAACTCACGACGCAATATTACAAAAGCAAAATTTTTGAAAATTTTACAACAGATCCAATTCTGCTCACAGAAAGATTTAGCGAAGCTAAATAAATAATATCGTTAATAAATAATACTTTTTTAAAGATAAATTTTAATTTGACGAAAGACTTTAAACTCTTTTTTCATTATTTTAAAATTAATATTATAAAAAATTATATCGCAAATATCGTTGTGTGACCAAATAAACGACTAAATAGAATTTGTAAAGTTAATTTTTACTTTTTTGTTGTGTAATATTATCTTTAATATTTAGTTTGCATTTTATATGTACGCGAACGATTATGTATTATTATTTCTCCAATACAATGGGACAGCTCTTGTTATCACGTGCGTGATTCTCTCGGTAGCATTCGCATCGATAGAGTCACTTGTACTCTAATCCGTGGGCATGAGCTCGAATCTCGCTCGTTAATACCGCCAAAGAGGCGCAGCCAGATGAGGCTATCAGCCAGCCTCTCTTGAAAATACTACGGATAGTAGGTAGCACAATCAAATGTAGCTACTGTTAGCAGGTATTATCGGTAATCTCGCGTGACTACTCTTTTCATATTTGTTACGTTACACATTATCTGCAAATGGCAGTGCTACCGTAATTTTGATCAATCATATCACATATTGGGAGATGAATTAAGTACTTTTATATAAGTGCCTTTTTCAAATGTAAATAACAAGTGTTTAAAAATAATATTGCTAAAATTGATTTCTTCATATGTGTGTAACTCATATTTTTGTCCAAGTTAAATACATAACAATGGTGATCTTTTATTTAAATAGTATTTTTTTTAATAATTCAAATAGAAAGATTATTCAAACTTCTATAATTAATAAAAAAATTTTTGAATAGCAGCGATTATTTGATAAAAAGTTACACATACTCTTCAATGTTTGTTTATATAAAAAAAAAACGCGCTTATAAATCCTGATTTTTCCAAGAAAAGACTTAAGGTCAGTTGAAGCGATTTGAACGTCACGAATGACATAGCTGAGTCAACCAAAAGTAAGATTTTAATGAAACCCGGCCTAAATCGCACTCTCTTTTTTCGCAAACATCAACAGTGTGCGTCTGTGTATGTACGTCTGAGATTACGCGTGTGAGCGTGATATTCTAATAGGCGAGCGGCTTTTCTCGTGCATTTAGCCGAATGGGTTAAAACTGCGGTTATTTGAGGTGCACTTCAATCGAATTGGCTCCCGTTTGCATAATCTTCTTCGTTGGCCCATCGCATCGTATTCGTCCGTATCCGCGCTCACCTTTCTTTCGCTTGATTTCTTTTCTCTTTCTCTTCCTCCTTCTCTACTTTTTTCTTTTTCCTATCTAGGCACATTTCTCCGTTCTCTCCGCAAAAATGATCGCATTTCTTTGTTCGACCCGCTGGGAAAATTTAGACTCTGCGATTGCGCGTTTGATTTATGTCCGATCGAATTTCGCGGACGACGAATCATTCACCTACGTTCACCTTCGTCCCGAGAAGCTAGAGAAGGTGGTCAGCACGAAGCGAACAATCGTCGCACGGACGAATCGGCTCAATTACGGCTTCTTGTTGAAATCAGATATTCGCAAATCGACTGCGTTTACGCGAGTCCGAAACGACGACGTCGCCGCTCGGTGACACCGCGGCTGTTACGTAACCGCGAACTGTTCTTACGGAGAAAAATGACGCGCTATGATCGCCTTGACTTCTGCACGTAATCGATTTGAATAAATTTTTGCGCGCGGTAAAAATTGCCGGCCTTGCTTTTGACGTACCAAAATTGCGAGATTGTTTCCGCACCGTGAAATCAAATATTTTATTTCGCAAAACTTACTGATTCTTTGTCGAAATATGTGTGTTTTTTTCTGACGAAAAATTTTTCTATGTAAAATAATTTTAAAACCAAGCATTGTTTCTACTGAACATGAAATTTTTGTTGTAAACAAACGATTAAATTTACTATCCAAGATTATCAATGTTATCATTACAAATCTATACTTCCGGGATTTTTGCGCGGACGATATGACACGCATATAAACTTAACAAACGCAGCATCATTTCATGTTGCAGTAATGCGTATCGTGTGCACAAAAGCAATAATTGTTGCTATACATGTAGTTAATTGTTCAGCGCGCGTTATTAATACAACTTAATTACTGGTAAGCAATTTGTGGCTTATATATTCGCAACAATTCCAATCGTCGGACGAGATGTGTAATAGTCCTGAATTCGTGGTGTGCTACGATGCCCGAACGCTTTGCACGCGAATTACATTGGTTACGCTAAGTTTGTCGCGTTACGTGGGACGACACGAAGTTCTTGTTAAATTGCTCCGGCACCCGCGCTCTCTTGTGCGATCCCGAAATATACGCACAAACACACACACACACACACACATATATATATATATATATATATATATATATATCGCTCAAAGTGAAAATTTCCCGCCGGGCGTTCGCTTTAAACGTCGCTGAATATTTATGATCCCAATCTCTTTTCAGCCTACACAGTAAAACGAGGTTTACCTCTGTAATAGCGGACGGAGTGTGCATGGCGGATCCACACGATGACTTTAATAACTAGTTACCGGATTAATTGTGTCACTTTGTCACCGTTAATTTACCTATTAAGCACTTATCGGTAAAATGACGTGACACGAGCTCGCGACACAATTATTCATTATGCTAATTGCGTGGCGCTACTGTAGATAAATCTTTGCCCAGTCTTTTTTCGTTCGTGTAAACGTATCTCTCATAACTGGGATACGTGACGCCTATAAAAAAAAGTTATTTTTCATCTCGACAGCTATTCAAACTTATGTAAAAATTTGTAATTTAAAAGTAAAATTGCATCATCGAAAGTGTCGAGTGTTTATTAAAAAATAAAACAGTGTTCTGAAAAGATTAGAGATATACTTTGCGGTACCTAAAAAAAAAACAATACATATCTAAATTGTTCAGATGTTAAAATAATAAAACAAAAAAAAAATTAATTATACATACGACGAGAAAGTGGAAGAAAAGAAAGAAAGTGGAAGAGACCGACAGAAATGTCGTCTCGGCGAGATTAAAGCTGTCTCACCTGTCAGGGAAGAACAGAGTAGCACCGACAGTAGTACGAGCAGCATTTTAGTCAGACACACGCCGCACCTGGAGCATGATTCGTCGCCAAGCGAAGTGACGCTCCACTTCTTCCCTCTCTGCATTCTCGAGTACTTCATCGTTCACTTGACATTTGTGCGAAAAGATAATCGCAACCGTTTGCGTCGGCTAGTAAAAGAGAGTTGTACTTTAAAATTTGCACCGCGCGTCGAGAATTTTTCCGTATAATCGTTCCACCACCGCTGCAACACTTTAACGTATTCTTAATCTTCGTTTCGTTCACGTGGCAAAATCACATCTTTTTTTTTTTTTTTTTTTTTTGAAAAATCAGCACCGATTCCACGATGTGAATCAGAAACAGCCGAGCATTCGTAATGTTGATTCGATCGATTCGCCGCAATTTCTTCACGTTCGCCGATCTATTTTCGCGCGAGCGTTTTTTCCTCTAATGTTTCTCGTGATTCTCGTGAAGGGATTCTTTTTGAAATCACGTGCTCCTAGAAATACCGATCGCCGTTTAGCATGAAAAAAAATCTAGCTCTTGCGCGTTTGGATTCAGCGGAACGCGAGAATTCGGAATTTTTTGCTTTTTTGCTCTTTTCGTGATTTATGTTTGCGTTACGAGCAAACTTTTCGCAATTTGAGATAATCGCGAATACCGATCTCGGTCCCCAGTATATATACTATAGAAAACAATTGTCTGTGCACTTGTAAATTTAATCAAAATTGAATTATCGTGTTGGTCTTCTTCGTTCTTTGGTCTTCTCTCGTGCGCGCAGTTTATTTGATCTATTAAAGAAGTTCCATGCGAACGAAATGTTTTTCGTCGTTGCCACGTGTTTTTCGTAGAAGCCACGAAGCAATAGCCGCACTTAGCTTCCGTGTATCCGCGGGAAAGTAGTTCCGCTATTAGTTGCGGCTTACTTCGCGGTCATTCCGTGAAAGTCTTTTCGAGCTTAACGATCCTCCTTTTATCGTCAGTTGTTGGATGGCGAAAGCGCTGCTTCCGCCGTAAACGTTGTCCCGTAATGTTTTTCGTCTTCAGCAACTTTCTGCGGTCTCTCTGACGCGTTCATAAAGTTTGTACACGAAAACTTGATATTTCTTTCTGTTTCATTTTTTTTTTTATTTTTTTTTTTTATGCGACGCTGCAGGTGTGCGTATATTTTACCGTCAAGCGAATCAATCTTTCATAACACTTTCGTTTAATTAAGCAGTATAAATGCTTGAGATATGCATATTAACGTCGCGTTCTCCGCGCGCCTTCCTCTTGTCTTCGCTAATTAACGCAAAATAATTACGCAACGCGATGCTACTGTCGATATGTTTGGAGAAATCTAGCATTAAGTTTCTCTTCTCGAAGTCAGACAAGCGCGCTTGAAACGAAGACAAACAAGGCGTTTCTCCTCATTGACGACTCTTCATTGTTGATTAACCAAATCGTTTTCCGACAGCAGCTTATTAATTATATCAAAATGAGAAACTTCCATACGGATTTTATCGAACGTTCGCAATCGTTCGCCGCATTTCCTCGTGTACCTTCTCTCTCTCTCTCTCCCTTTTATTTTAATTACGCAATGAAAGGACACCATATTTCATTGAAAATCAGCGAGCAAAACTTTTCGCGTTTATTTCGTAATTCGATAAGCATTTCGCGAGTTTTATTCGGAATTTCTCTTGACACTTGCAAACTCTTACAGAGGGCAATCCGCGAGTAGAATCTCTCTCGATTTGAATTCCTAACACAATGTACCACTACCCACGTGACACTTTTGCCCCTGGCACCACGTGCTGAGATCGCGATTGTTCACCCTTATCGTCTTTTTTTACAATATAGTTCCATCGCAAACGCAACTTCCCGAATCATATTTGATTATTGTTAATTTTGTAATTTTTATACACTTCTCGCCTGTCACTGCATCCTTTCCTCGATGAACTCTCATGCGTATCCTCTCACTGTCACTTTCAAATACACGATTTATCCGTCAGTAATTCAATATAATTGTTTATTAATTTATTTTTCTCACTGCCGACACACTTTTTGTACTAATGTTTTTCTTGTAATCAACAAAAACCAAGATTTAAAAACAATGAGTAACAATTTGTTGCTTATTAATATTTTTCTCCACTGCGTTCTTTACCGCACTCGACGAGAACAAATTGATTTCCACGAACATTCGTCATGCCGCGATTTTGCATACAGGTGAGCTTTGACGTTATTACAGGTGCTAGACAACCTTTTCCATCCGTAGTTCGTAGTTGACAGAAACCCTTGGCGGGAGCAGCGCGACGAATAAGGTGCCACTCCCACCCGCGCATGCTCCACCACTACTCTCCGAATTGTAATCCCCCTCTGCTTATTTTCCCCTGTCGACTCTCTCTTCTCTCCGTTCCCCTCCGCTTTCCTTCACTGTGATGCGTGATCTCCCTATTTACTGCGTTTTTCAAATCGGTCTCTCTCTCTCTTTCTCTCTTTTGTTTACTCAACAACACTTCTCTCTCTCTCTCTCTCTCTCTCTCTCTCTCTCTCTCTCTCTCTCTTTCTCTCTCTCTCTTAGTCTTACTATTCATATAACTTGCACGTGGTTTCCATCAGAGAGTAGAGTGATCCATAAACCAATTAATTCGGCTAATAAACTCAACTGAAGGGTAGCGGACCCTTGCTTCTTGCAGAGAACAGCTGCTGAATCTGCTTAACGATTTTCTATAACTTGACTCATCTCTGTTAAACATGATAAATCAACTCATCAACATTAAAAGCTTATTTTACTGTCTCACTGTATCGGCGTAAGCCACTGGCCGTGTATATTACGTCAGAGAGAAATGCACTTGTCAGAATATAAACAAAGAATTTATAAAATTACACAAATTTACGATTTACTACATTTTTCTTTTCTGTTTTCTGCAGCATATATGTATATAGAACGCTTGTCGTTTGCATTTGCAGTCTTATGTCGAGATACAATCGATAACGTAGTTTACACACAACAGACAGAGTTATTAAAACGAGCAAATTGTATTTTCCGAACCTTTATAAAGGTAATTTCAAATGAGAACAATTAACTGTTACATTAAGCAATATTGATATTACCGGAATGAAAAACACAAATAAGATATTGATTGGCTTACCGGGATTAATTTAACAAAGAATATTGAATAACTGGGAAATATAAAGTTCGAGATAAACGCGCATTTTAATAACGTCAAGATCCGTTTTTTACTTTGAAATGTATATATATATTCATTCGCTCTTTTATTTCGCTCGCATTAAACGTGGCATGTCTAGACGCATAAGTTTCATGATGGCGTCGTCCCTTATTTCCCGGACCGAATTATTAAAGAAAGGCACTCCTAGTCGGCTGCGTAATAAATCAATTAGTTTAAATAAGAAGGCCTCTTTCGCGTGAGCATAGAAGAGAACCGACGACGACGTCGCAAAATAACGTCGCCTCTCTCCGTTCCCTCGCGCAAAGCGACTTATTATTATGACTACCGCGGAAAGCAAACCGCTGTCGATTGCGCCGATAAATTAATTGTGCGCGATCGATTAATTAAAATGCCGACGCACACCGCTAACGTAATCCCAATGCCGAGCGACGGAAATATTATTTCGATCTGCTGTTGTTGTTGCCGCTGCTGCCGATGACTTGCAACTAGTGGTAAATAACGGAAAACCTTCAAGTTGCCGCAACCACGCCGCTAGTCGCTGACCGCGACAGTTAAACGTCGAAACGAGTCCGCGCGGCGTGTCGCATTATTTCAACGACGCGCGCGCTGCGGTCAATTCCACGCCAATCATTCTGTTCCGGTTACCGGTCGCCTGACGCCGCTGATTTGTCGAATAGATCGAGATTCGATTTATTCGGCGCGTTCCCTCGAATCTCCTCTCTTTCTTCTCTCTCTCTCTCTCTCTCTCTCTCTCTCTCTCTCTCTCTCTCTCTCTTTCTCTTTCTCTCTCTCTCTCTTTCTCTCAAATGCGAAACTCAAGTACTCGGTGGTTTATGTATACAATTCGACGATTGCACTCGCTCCGCGAATGACAGCTGAGAATTATCCATTGCATAATATACGCTTCGCATCCCGGTGTAGGATGCCCCCGGATCTACGAGATGCGAGTTGTTGGTGAATGAATTAACATACTAATTACATGCGCTGTCAAGCACGCTCTGCCGCGATTTCATGGCTTTGCTAAGTTCGTAACAATGCTCACAAATCTTTTGCAACTAATAGATCGTCACGCTCTTTTGTCTTTCTTTTTATATTCATATTTATATTTTTGCTTGCAATTTATATAATCTTGTTTATTTACAGAATAAGAATAACTATAAATAACTATAAACAAGTTAATATAGATATAACAAAAACTAGTAATAAACATTTTCAGAATTGAGAGATATACGTAATTGCATAATGTGATTTTTTTTACAAACTAGAAAAAAAATAATATTGTTAACATATTTTAGTCTATTTTTCAGATACAAATAAAACAAGTGCACGTTTTTATCTCTTTATCACAACTTTATTTTTTGAAAGTAAAAAGAGGAAATGTTAAAACGGCAGAAATTAAAAATCGTTATACGCGCCCTTAAATAACTGTATATGAAACCCAAACGAATCCAATTAACTACGATAAATAAATCGAGACGGAGAAACGCGAGAATAGTCGACGGCGAAACACGAGCAAGCGCCACGCATCCGCCTTCGTTCATTCGAGAATTTTTAACCCGACATTCGAGCGCGGTTTCCGCTGTAGATATGTTTCATTGACAAATTGGATACGAGAATCGCGAGAGACGGCAAATTAATGCGATCTACGAGTCGCTCCCGGCTTGTTTATCGCGCTATCGATTTCGCTTGGACGTTCGATCGCTCAGAAAAACTCCAAGAGATATGCTCTTCAATTATTTCAGCAATGGCAGCTATATTTACAAATCGCTTATCACATATCGGCTTTAACTTTGCTTTTTCGAAATCTTTCTTACTACTCGTATTTTTTTCATTATGTAGAAAACATTCTAAACGCAATTTAGAACAATTATAGAATTATTATCCACATCGATAAACCGTAATTGCTCTCAAAGCAATGAAAAGTGTTGAAACAACAAGCATTTTTAGGGATGCGCGCTCTACTTGAATTTTCAGATACACATACATCTAGATTTAGTTTATTTCACGATGACAGCGTTTTCGTCACATAAATGTTTATTTTGGATTTGTCTGTAGATTTCGACTTACTTCCGCAACTCCGAACGTTATCACTCGCATCCGACATTTTTCTTTCCCCCGCCGCGTGTTAAGACAGACTTTCTTCTCGATGTGATTTTAGGGAACCATGTGAAACTGTCCGATCATACCTGCGGGAGGAATGGAGGAAGTGTCATAGTGTCGAGCTGGTCTTAAGATCTTGAGCGAGCTCATTCGTCTTCGGGATTCATCTTGACCTCGTTTATACCGGCAACCAACTCCGGCTGTAATGGTTGCTCTTGCTTAGCAAACGTCTTTAACCGTGTGTGAGATCTCTGGTCTCAAGTCTAATCCGTTTCTTTTATCTTTTTTTTTAGACAAGATTCATGTAGAGATACAATGTCTTTTCAACCAGTATATTATTTACGTGTGAAAATTAGATTGAAAAATCGAAAATATATAATTTATATTTCAAAGGTTTCTTATAAGATCTAAAATGGCAAATAAAGTTTCTTGCTTGTTTATTTTTACATACATATGTGTGTGTGTGTGTGTGTGTGTGTATACATTACAAAAATTAATTATTAACAGACATTACATCTTATACCAAGATATCAACGTCTTTAACCGTGTGTGAGATCTCTGGTCTCAAGTCTAATCCGTTTCTTTTATCTTTTTTTTTAGACAAGATTCATGTAGAGATACAATGTCTTTTCAACCAGTATATTATTTACGTGTGAAAATTAGATTGAAAAATCGAAAATATATAATTTATATTTCAAAGGTTTCTTATAAGATCTAAAATGGCAAATAAAGTTTCTTGCTTGTTTATTTTTACATACATATGTGTGTGTGTGTGTGTATACATTACAAAAATTAATTATTAACAGATATTACATCTTATACCAAGATATACTTTTATATATTTACACATACAAAAAATAATCATTGAATATGATGTATTATACTTCCACTTTCTTTCATATATATATATATATATATGTTACGATCAAAGCCCGAAGCACGGGCGGTCCTAGGATTGACTGGTCAATACGCAAAACAATCATGCGTCTTGGTCAAAGCACGAAATAGATTTATTTGCGTACTTTTCAATGTACGCTATTATTGTAGTGACATAGATTAGGATTAGGTTGGGTTAGGTTTCTTACGGGTTAAGATTCTTACGGGGAAGAATGAAGCTTCTCTCCCGCTCATACGTGTACAATAGTATATGATACAAACGAAATATTTTATACGTCTCAAATGTCCATTCAAACTTTGACCATATATATATACATACATATATATATATCACTAACTTTAGTTTGAACAATGACATTTAATAATTTCCGGATATTTTTGTAGATAATACATCATATCTGTCATTATACAAATGAAAGATTGATACGTGACGTGAAGTAGTCGATGCGGGAGAGGATATACCCCATCGCTATCCCAAGCTTTACTTTCCTACGGAGAGAGGAAGCGTACACTCGTCTAATCTGGAAAGCCCTGTAACCCGGACTAATGGACCACACGGGAGAGATCAATCTGCGTTACCTTCGCGCGAATTATTTTTCCGCAAGGTACGACTGTCCGCGCGTTTTCCATCGCCTATGTACGCGCGGTATTATTGACACAGACGGTAAAAAATAAACGAAAAATGCTACGTTCATGTCAGAGCCGGATTTTGTCTTCTGACTTTTTGTTTTTCTAGCTTTTTCAGACATTTATAATTTATCAATGACATAAGTCTTTTTTTCTTTTTTTCTCTCTCTCAGTTTTATAAAATATATATATTTAAAAAATACTATTGTATATATACGTATATTCTCTTTATTAGAAATACGAAATTTACACTTGTATTAAAATATTTGATATTTTAATAAAATAAAATAAAATAATATATTGTAATAGAGTTAACTTTTTATTAATGTTCACTTTTCATACTTTAAAAAAATTTTATTATCTACATTAGAATTTATTACCAATTTTTATTCATATATTGCTCCAAATTAGCGTGAACTAAAAATCTCTGTTATTGCAGATTTTGTCAGCAACTTCAGAAATTGCGATTGTCAGCGA